GCTCTGCAATGGTTTGCAGTGCCAGAGAATCTCATAGTAATCAGGGTGTGATACCACCATGACAAGGGGGCTCTCCCAATTGTGAGTCACACAGCCACTGCTCTGACATGAATACCAGATCTAGTGTGTGACTACTGTTCTACGTCAGGTTCTGATGGTCTGGGATAGGCACATGGCTGTCACAGTAGCTATGACCTGTCTTAGATCGCAATTCCAGGAAAAGCAGATTGAAGTCCCCAAGACCACTGCCAATCCAGAGATAAAGTCAAAGAGCCTAGACAAGGAGGCTGCTGTGCAGCAGGGAAATTGGTACAACAGCAATAATCCCAACTGATCCCTAGAGCCCAACTTAATGAATAGTGTCTCATATCCAGTGACCTGCGGGGCAACACCTCCGAAAGCTGTAAGCAACCACCAACCTTGCCCCAGGTTCTCGACCAGAGTCATACTTGAAACCCAGCCGGGCATAACTCCAAAAGCCCTTTCGGGCCCAACAGGTCTTGGTAATACATGTGACTTCACACAGTAATGTGATTAGGCCCATGGATACAGGTCAGAAGCCTAAAATGCTCTGTGGAAATAAAAATGTGTAAGTAAAGTTAGAAAGAAATATTTCTATCAACTGCATGAGGACTTAAGAAATACCTTCATGGGCGATCTATTTATGTACTTGTTCAGTTCCTTTCTTTCCTACCTTGATTGTTCATATTGTTTACAGATCATTAAATATACTGCAGTGGCCGCAGCTTCACAGACTGATCATAAGTTCCACTAGTTCAGCACCATAATAATTTTGAATGGTTGCTGAATGATTGGTCAAAACTAGAGGACTATCTATATATTAATATATATTATACCAATGCTTCTAATATGAGACTTCTAGTAAAAGATTCAACCTGGTTTTATTTTACAGGTCGATATAATTAAATACAAACCATATTTACAAATACATCCTCTATATTCTTTATTATATAGTTATACAACCATTTCTTATTTGAAATGTTTTGTTTTGGGGTAGGGGCTATCACTCAAGAGATAATATATATTTTGCTTTTCTCTCCCTTATCTGCATTTCTCCATAAATCCTATTACATTGTATCTACTTAGAGCATCAGGGAATAACCAGTTGAATTAGTGATTTAGACAGAAACATATTTCTTCCTATTTTCAACCTGATATCTAATCAATATCTAGTATTTTCTTTCCTTATTTGCCATGAAGCATTGAAGATAAGGTTGTTACACATTGCCATTTTATTTCATTGTAATTGTGAAGCCCAAGCAAGTGCAGCTAGAGAAATCCTTACAATTTCCCTTATTAATAACTATACATTTTAATAATATGGATCGTATGTTCTTTTCCATGTTTATAAATATTAAATCTTCATCTTAAGAGTATTTCTGTCATTTAGATTAAGTTTCAGCTTGTTCTCCCTCATTCATCATAAACCATATATAGAAGTAAGTTCTGCAGTCTCCGTTGAGCAGATAGAAATGAAAAATGGTAGAGCAGAATATTATCTGAATATTGATGACACTTCAAAGAAAACAGCCAGGTTATTTTTCCCAATTATCTTATTAGGCTCCTAAAAAACAAACTTGTAACTATGATATGGAACAAAAATCTTGCCAGCACTATCTTCTCAGACCATTCCTGAGGATGGTTAAAAGTGGGAGGACCTAAACCTAGAATAGAGAATATTATTCCTGTTGATACTAAAAGTTGCTGAGAGCAAAATAATAGAATTGCTGTTCCTAATTCATCCATTTCCCAGTGAAGGTCATCTATCAGAGTATCAAAGGCTGTTTCAGTCCCATAATAATCAGTTCTGAAGCCTACTGAATCTAACTAGATTATACCATCAAGAAATGCCTTTTGTCAAGAGATTGTTACATACTTCAACAACTTGCCTCCAAAAGGCAATTTTACAGCGTCTCAACATTTTCTTCAACTGGGCCTCACTTTTTTTTCCAAGCTGCAGGAGCCTCATAGTTTCTCCTGAGGTACAGGTAATCCTCCAGTTATAATCATTTTAGTGACTGAAGTTACAAATGGCGCTGAAAAAAGTGACTTACAACCGCTCTCCTGCAACTATGGTCATGTGATTAAAATTTGGGCACTCGGCAACTGCCACATGATGGTTGCAATGTCATGTGATTGCCATTTGCAACCTTCTCAGCCAGCTTCCAGCGAAGTCAATGGGGGAAGGCAGATTTACTTATTGACCGTGTGATTCACTTAACATTGGAAACATGTTCATAAAATCGGGCATGCCTCATTTAACCTCCTTGCTTAGCAACATAAATCCTGGCCCCAATTATGGCTGTAAGTAGAAGACTATGTCCCTCCATAACGGATATACTTTTCATTTTAAAAGAATTTGTATGCATTTGTTTCTCAAGGGCAAATTTATCCTAAGGTCTTCTACTATAAATATTCAATTGTGTTGAAATTGTGATTAGTACAAAAGCAAGAGAAAATACAGTACAGAGTAAAATACTTTATTATATGCAGAATAGATATAGGTTATATTTTATATGCCCAGGTGAAGATTTCCATTATGCTTCAGAATGTAGACATTCAAATTTTTGTGAAACACTTTGACAATGTAATACATAGTTCACATGAATAGTCATAGTTATTCTGTAGATATCTATCCATCTGTGCTAAATGTTAATATTGAAAACAAATTTTCTGAAATATAGACCTTCTGGAAAAGAAACAAGTGAAGATTTACAGACAGGCAGATTTTAGGCAATATCTCCTAAAAATTACACACCACAGATATCTTCTATGGAACCAAATCAGTTTCAGGCTACATTCACATCTCATTGTGAAATATAAGCAGAGATCCTCATGGTATATTTTAGAAGTATGATTAAGTGGGAATGTAGTCTCTGTCAAAGACAGAGAAGGAACAAGCTCTTCATCACAAGACACAAGACATTAGCAAGAAAGAAGACTGTACACACATACACATTTGCAGAAGAAAAATAAAAAACATAGGAAAATAGTAATTTAATTGACATCATATACTAGTATAGAAAAGACAATCATAGTCCATTCTTCTCCAAGAATTAAATAAAATTGTTTAATAACCTAGAGAAGCAAGTTGAACAAAACTTTACATTTTAAATTATTTCATGAAGCAGAATTTTAAAAATGCAACAGAGTAGCTCAACAGAAAAAGAGGCTGCCCATAATAATCGTTGTGCTTCATAGCCAGTTTAAATAATAAATCAGGCAATGACCCCAATCTCATAATTTTATCCTACTTAATCATTTTCTCCTAGATTTCAAAATTGGTCTTCCAGCACTTTGAAGGTTTGGGGAAATCACATCAGATCCAAGGTAACTTTTGCCAAGTGCTAGTTTATAGATATGTTGGAATCAACTCTCATATTCAAGACCTCTTACTACGCTCATATCCTTTGCTAATCATCTCAATCTGTCATCACAGTTAAATTCAAGATCCTTTTTGATCTATTCTTCACATATGTATGAATATAAAGGAGACCCTGCAGATTTTACTCCACTAGTCTTGTCGACTATAGGGGGTGGTGCTCATCTTGGTTTCAAGGCCATTGAGCTACTGCTGTCCGAAGACATGACATCACAGAGCGCTATTACCTTTCCACCAAAGAGGTACCTATTTATCTACTTCACATTCGCATGCTTTCAAACTGCTAGATTAGCAGAAGCCAGGATGAGGTCTCGAACCTGGGCTGTCGGCTAGAAGGCCAACAAGCCCAGTGTCTTAACTGTTGAACCACCACACTGCCCCTGATGTATGAAGATATTCATGCTTAAATTCTGTACACTATTCAAAATCAATAGGCCTTTTCTAAGATACTCACAAGTCACCTTAAGTCATGAATGGCCCAATTACGTTTTCTGTGTTCGCTTGTTTTGCTTCCTCCACACATTCATCTTTTGAAGTTTTGGTTTTTATGCCTCTGAGTCATTGTTGACTCCTACCTGGACCTGGACCTGCAGTCTTCTTGTTTTTTTTTCAGAAGTGGCTTGCCATTGCCTTCTTCCTTGGGTCCAGAGAGAGAGTGAATGAGCTTAAGTTATCAAGCTGGTTTTGTGCCTAAGGCGGGACTAGAACTCACAGTGTCTCAGTTTCTAGATGTATGTCTTTAACCACTACAAAATAATTTGTATTCATCCGAATCTTGCACAATTTTCCTCAAAAGTAATCTCTGATGCTTCTATCATCACTTTCTCTTAGCCTCACAAGCACACATTCTCTCCAACCTATTTCTTAAGCCTTGCTCTTTAGTATTCATTTCTCAAACATTTCCCATTTCATCTTCCATAGCCTGAGACTGTCACTAGATGGGCTTGTATATACTGATTGCTCTGCCACTGATCATGGATTGAGTCAATCAAGGTTTTCATGTAAATGCTTCTTAGTATAAACCAGATAATCAGGCCTAAATCACACTTGCAACATTCCACCCTATCGGTAAAGATCTGCAATGCTATAGACATATATATTTACAGGAACTTTTAAAACATGAAAATGGCCAATATTTACTTCTAGAATTGCAGTATGAGAGATGGGGCTTGCAACAACACGAGAATAACCCTCCTAAAGTGAAATGAAAAACAATATGCCATATTCACCTCCCTGCGATCTTTCCTAGAACTGCATACCTCTGTGAAAATGACAAACATCACGGTGTTTACAGCCCTGCGAGGGGCTTTTGGGCTGCAAGGCTCCAGGCTAATACTTCATCTCTTTCGGCTCCCCTCAGGAGCTTCACCTCTGCACTCTACCGCCCTGATCCTGAAAACCGAGAGGGGTCCATGAAAAAAAAAACGGAGCCAGAGCCCGGTGGCTTCTTTCCCCTCGTAGTTTGTTTCAGAGTTAACCTAGCCAGCTTGGAGCGTACGCGGATAGCCTACTTGCGAGCCGGGTACAAGCTCGGCGGTCCTTCTCTTCCTCCCCCGGGACGGGGGGAAAATGGGAAACGCCTCTCTCCTCCCTCAGGCAGCGATGGGGGAAGGTCTGTCAGTATATCTCTTTCCCGGCTGGGCCCCAGAGCAAGAGGAGCAGTCGCGGCGGCTCCCTCCACCGCCCCTTTGTCTTTCTCTGGGTCTCCTCACCCCAAGGTTGGTGCTGTAATTTCCGCGAAGGCTTGGTTAGTCGAGAGCCTTTCAGTCCGGTGGAAAATGCTTGGGGCAATGTTCCCCCTCGCTTGCTCCATGCTGGTAGTTTGCTCCTGCTTGGCCGAAAGGGAACTTGCAGCGTTGACGCAGGACCAATTGCCCTACTTCTTGAGTAAGTTGGACGGGCGGCTGAACCATTGGTCGGACGGCTGTCTTGAGGGAGATTTCGCTGTTTGCTTTCTCCCGCTCTTTTTCTCTCTTTCTCTCCCTCGAATTCATTCCTTTCCTGCTATTAGCTGATTATATATAGCGGGTTAGCATAAAGAGTAATGCTTTATCTTGATACAACTCTCACTCCAGGGAGAGGCGGGGGGGGGGGGAAGCTGGAACCAAATCCTTAAGGATCATTCTTTAGGAAATAAAACTTACTACGTCCAGAGGAATTTATTTCCTATTCCTCCCAGTTGAAATGCCGGTCAGAGACCTTACCAGTCAGTTCTAGCTCTCTGCTAGGCTTGACTACGTAAAACCCATTTAACCACCAGAGTGCACAACTGAGCGGCCAAATTTGGCTAATTTGGCTTTAGTTTATTGTACAGATAGTCCTCGACTTTGCTTAATGACCATTCAAAGTTACAACAGCACTGAAAAAAGTGACTTATGACCATTTTTCACACTTATGACCATGGCAGTATCTCCATAATCACATGATTTGCATTTGGATGCTTGACAACTGACTCACATTTATGATGGCTGTAGTGTCCCAGTGTCATGTGATCCCCTTTTGCAACCTGACAAGCAGAGCCAGATTTGCTTAACAACTGTTTTACTAATTTAACAACTGCAGTGATTCAGTTAACAAATGCGCAAGAAAAGTCATAAAATGGGGAAAAACTCATTTAACAAATTTCTCACTTAGCAACATAAATTTTGGGGGTCAGTTGTGGTTGTACGTTGAGGACTACCTGTACTTTTTCAACACTCGGTGTGCTGCGCATGACCAGCTCTTCACATTTGTGCTTCAGTCCTACAAAATGAGTTTCCAATTCCCAGTTTTAACTCTGCTTTATGCATGTAGCTGGCATGTGCAATTATCTGCTTATATGTGACTCTGCATTTTAACATTTTCCAGGCAGTTTCTTATGTGAGGGAATATCATTTTGTTTGTATTAAGTAGCAGTATGTTTATGACTGTAACACTGATTTCTTCTGTTTACTGTGAACCTATCTGTATTACTAGTGATAACGTATCATTGTTCCAGAACACATTACTAGTGTAAACACTTTTAAAATCTTTTGCAAACTGTCTCTGGGACTATTCGAAGCATGAGGAATACTACTTGCAGTGTTGAGGTAGAGAGCCCTAAATGCCTTAGTTTCCAAATTTCTGACTGCCTACATAAGTTATTTGCTTCCCTTTCTCAGTGACCCTTGCCATCTGTTCATATACGTATGATAAAATAGAAAAAGCAAATCATGTAATGCTGCAGGCGTGTGTAGAATTGTTCAATTTCTATTTTGATAGTATCAAAAGATGAAGTTGGGGAATTTTTCCTCAGAGAAAGTGCTTTTCTTTTTAGCTGAAACAATACCTGAGGATTATTAAACTAGATGAAGTCCAGCCAGTTGATTCCCAATTTTTTTCTAGGTAATCAAAATTTCAAATATGGAGGGCAGACAGGCAAACTTTTTCTCCTAGAGAAGGGGAACTGTAGGCTGCCACTGTCTTCAGACAGGGAGAGTGATTACACTATGTTGAGTTTCTGATTAGGTGTAATTCACACATTTTGTTGAAATGATTGCGAGACTTTTTTCAGCACTTCCCTGACAACATGAGTACTTTGGAGATAGAGAGGTTGAAGGTGGAGCACAGTATCCCTGTCTGCCTTCATAAATTTAAGGTGACCAACCGTCCTCCTTTAGGGAGGACAGTCCTCCTTTTGTGAGTTCTGTCCTCCCTCGAAAAGTGTCCTCCTACATGTCCTCCTTTTTGATATTTGAAGACTAATCTGCAAGGCTTTTTTTTTCCCCATACAACACTCAGAACGGTGTTCTGGCACCTTTTTTTGATGTTTTTTTTTTTCAATTTTTGGATGAGCTGTGCTACTCCCCCTATTGGCTTTCGAAAGCCAATAGGAATTGCTGCTGAGCGCGTATGAAAAAACCCAGCCGGCAAACTTTGCACATATAAGTTGTCTGCAGTGAAGGCGAATTGGCAGGAACTTTGCATCCCTCCCTGCTACCCAACTACACCATCTCCTAGTTAGTCCTGAAGATACCTGGAGGAGACTGGAGTGGTGACACCACAGTAACTTTCTCTTGATCTTCGGCCCTGTTAGGGCAATAATGGCTGTGGGAGCAAGAGGCAGGGGTGGCAGGGCTGCTGCGGGTGGGGGTGTGAGGGGCGGCGGTGGCCGGCTGCCTCCTGTGCTGTGGGAGCCGTGGGGCCTGCTCTACATGGGGCTGCGCAGGATGGGCGGTAGTGCTGGCGAGGCGGCTGCAGGCGGGGTGTGTTGATGGCGGACTGCCCTCTGGTGCCAGAGTCAGTGCAGCTGGTGCTTTGGGAGCCGTGGGGCCCGCTCTACACGCCGGGGCAGCAGTGCTGGCGGGGCGGCTGCGGGCGGGGGCGCAGCATGTAAGCATAATTACAATATAAAATGTTATTGTTACAAATTTTTTTTATTATGCATTTATCATATTATAGTGTATTCTGTATTATTGTTGCAATGAATAAAATGTTTCTTTTATTTACGATATTTTTTCTTCAATTTATTTGTGTCCTCCTTTTCATTGTAAAAAAGTTGGTCACCTTATTCATACTTGAAATTTTTTGATACTGAAGAAGCCTAATCTAAAGTATGACTGAGTGTAAATTGTTCATTTGTCCAATTGAAAGCTAAATATGGATGGCTGTGAAAAAAAACCATGGTGCACAAAACACTTTTGTTGTGATTTTGAATGAGATCAGGATTTTAGAACATATATGTGTTAAATGTTGCTTTTGGACATCTCCCTTGTCACCATCTTGATTTTAATTATCCTTAGGATACTATTGCTATTTTTAATTGGAAGCTGCAGGTGCAAAGCAAGGTATCAGCTTCTAGCATGATCTCTATTTACAAGAGTGCCTGTGAGATTTGCATAGGCTTAAAAAATAAAATACCGTATATGCCGGCGTATTAGGCGACCCGGCGTATAAGACGACCCCCGAGTTCGACGCCGGGTCGCAAGACGATCGACGCCGAGTCGCATATAAGACGACTTTCTAGGCATGCGACTCGGCGTCGATGATCTTATACGCCGGAAATGACGTCATTTCCGGAGTATAAGATGACTTTCTAGGCATGCGACTCGGTGTCGATCATCTTATACGCCGGAAATAACGTCATTTCCGGCTTATAAGATGATCGACACCGAGTCGCATGCCTAGAAAGTCATCTTATACGCCGGAAATAAACGTAGTTTATAACGTTATTTCCGGCGTATAAGATGACTTTCTAGGCATGCGACTCGGTGTCGATCATCTTATACGCCGGAAATGACGTCATTTCCGGCGTATAAGATGATCGACACCGAGTCGCATGCCTAGAACATCATCTTATACGCCGGAAATAATAAATAAATAAATAAACGTTATGACTCGGCGTATAAGACGACCCCCGAGTTCGGAGGCTGTTTCATCGCTCTCAAAAGTCGTCTTATACGCCGGAATATACGGTAATGAGAAACTAAAGCCTAGATCTACGATCACAGCTGAGCCCAAAATTTCCCTTGCCAAGCAAGACAGTTAAGTGAATTTTGCTCCATTTTTACAACCTTCCTTGCCACAGTTGTTAAATGAATCATCGCAGTTGTTAAGTTAGTAACATAGTTGTTAAGTGAATCTGGCTTCCCCGTTGAGTTTGCTCATCAGAAGATCACGAAAGGAAATCACATGAGCCTGGGATACTGCAACTGTCATAAATATGAGTCAGTTGCCAAGCGACCAAATTTTGATCACATATCCATAGGGATGCTGAAGTGTGAAAAAATAGTCATGAGTCACTTTTCTTCAGTGCCGTTGTAACTTCGAATAGTCACTAAATGAACTGTTGTAAGTCGAGGGCTACCTATATTTTGTTAAAATTTCCAGGAAAAAACAATGGTTTAACGGGATGGTAGCAGGTTCTAATCTGAGGGTTAGAAGAAGAATAAGAAACAATCTCATCAGTTTCTCTACAAGAAAATTGGTGTTTCATGAATAGCTATTGCAGTCTTTTTTGTAATATTCTCAAAATTCTGTCCCCAGTCCTAGCAACTTGACTATTTTTGTTTTTCAGGGCTATAAACTTTAGTCATAAGTCAATTTTTTCAGTGCTGTTGTAACTTCAAATGGCCACTAAAAGAATGGCTGTAATTTGAGGGCTATCTGTACATCTAGTTCCATTAAGAAAAGAACTAATAGAAGCTCATTGTATGCTTGAGTTCCAAAGTTTTCAGTATAATTGGAACTAAGGTCAGACTTTTTCCAGTTGTCCCTGGAACAGCTGGTTCTCTGGAGAGCCGAGGGTGTGGCAGTCCTGTCAAGGTTCTAGCTTTGCTTTGCCATGTATCCCTAATCCTCATCAGATGCCTTCTGGGCTTTCCTTCCTGTTTTGGTTAGCTAAGCCAATTTACTGAGAAAGCAGGAAAAAAATGTAAGATTTTGGTTAGATATAATCTGGGCAAAAATTTAAGGCCTTTTTCTAACAGCCCAAACCAGCTGGAGCAGGGGTCCTCAACCTTGGCAATTTTAAGACTTGTGGACTTCAACTTCCAGAATTCCTCAGCCAGCTTTGCTGGCTGAGGAATTCTAGGATTTGAAGTCCACAAGTCTTAAAGTTGCCAAGGTTGAGGACCCCTGAGCTAGAGAACACATCTGCCCTACTGTATACATAATCTGAAACAAAACTTTCTTTGTCCTAGGAAAAGGAATATTTATTATTCAAAGTGAGAATTTGAGTACATGCATTACCGCTGAAACATCCGAGCTCATCCTTGAAAACTGCAATCAAGTTTCTAAACACATGTTGTGGAAATGGGGTTCTAAACAGCAGCTTTTCAACATAGGCAGAAGCAGATGCCTGGGGCTGAACCTCAGTAACCCGGAGCCCTCACTAGTAATGACACAATGTGACTCTCCTCGGTATTTGCTGCAGTGGCGGTGCCATGGGAAGGCACTTATTGGGGCATCACAGTTCAAATTAGCAGTTGAAAATAGCAGATTTATTGTAGTTAAAAGGATTTCCAACTATGGATGGAAACAGTTCATGTCACATGATGACCTTTGTGAACATGCATTTGAAGGTAATTTTTTTTCCAAGTCATGCTTCCCTTAATAATACAGGTGGTTCTTAAACATGGGAGTTATAAGAACAGCATCTTGCTATATGATTAAGATAATTACTTCTGTTTGCTATCAGTTGGGTGCATCAACAACCTATGCTGCATAGAATTTGAATGTATAAAAATCTCCAATGCTAAACACTGTGCTGGCATAATTCTTGCCTTTTACACGATGGCCCATGTATCCAGGACCTGGCATATCGTTAGATATTTTGTAAAATTTCTTCCATGTGAATCAGCATTCATGGTCTATAAAGCCTATTTAGTTGCTCAACAGGTCATAAACAAGCAGACATGAATTCTGGCTTACTATTGGATACATGAAAGGAGCAGAGCAGAAGGCAGGTTGTGAACACTTGAGTAGGTTCAATTCACATAGAGATCTACAGTGGGTTATAGAGTTAATAGGGGAATTGGTTAGATTTATAACTTCCATGATAAGTAATGTGGAAGGTCCAGTAGTTAGCCCTCAGCAACATTACCTTGCTGCTTGGATTTTCTGCAATTATACAGTGTTGATGTATATGCCAGAAGAAAAGAGTCATAATGCAATGTGGGGCTTTTTAGATCAATTCTACATATCTTTATGGATCAGCTTTATCTTTCACCTTAGTTATCAAGAAACCTGATGAATTACAAAATACACAGCCATCCTAGGAATAGTTCAGCATAATGATATAAGAAGACACATTTACAAATGTTTTGTATGTCCTTCTCAAGACTTAAGTGTAAGAAAAATCAGTATGAAAATGATAACATGGGAATGACTTTTAAATTTTATATCTGGCTTGAAAATATAGTAATGAGCCACTCCTGCTCAGTTTTTTTTACTTGAGAAATACTCTAATTGTAGTGCTTGGCTCTGAAAACTTAGTAAAGGCAATTTGTACTGTACTTACAAATCCATGAATATCACATGTCCTGAACTTGCAAAAATACAAATAGCAAATATATTAATTACAAAGCAAGAGGCTTATATTGTAATGAATTTGTTAGACTTTAAGATGTTACTACTACAGCAGGCTTGTATGGGCGCTCCTTTGGACAGCTTTATTAACTGACTGATGGCAAATGCTATTACAAAAATTATCAAGTGCAAATCAAGTTGTTGCTATCATAATGTAAGCCTTATTAAAAATTGATAGAGCAGAGTCCTTCCTTTCAGTGAAAGTACATGTACTGTTGCAAATTACAAAACTATTATAATACCAGATCTTCTTTTTAGGGGGGAGGAATATCCATTAAAGGTTTTTGCACCTTTTCAATTTTGTTTCTAAATGATGTATCAGCAGTATTTTATTCCATTCAGAAATGTATACCCTGTTGGGAAATTCCCTTGGTTTGCCGTGTGTTTTTCCATTTAAACACAACAATAAATGGCACTATGAATGTATCAGAGATTTCAGAGAAGATGGCTATCCTTGGTGTGCCACAACAAGCCACTATGAACAAGATGAAAAATGGGGATTGTGCCCAAATTCTGGTATGTAGCAATTAATATACTCCTTTATTTGTTTGTAGCAATGATACATACATTGGCCTGAAGTTATTAGATTAATAACTGGAATAGTAGTCATGGGGTGGAGACGTATGTATATGGGTGGATGCTGATTATCAATTCAAAATACTGTTTCCTGAATTGTTAAATTGTATTATTCATTGATATTATTAAAAGTTATTTGAAATATGAAGATAATTTTGAATTTCAGAGTGCATCCTATTTCCCAACTTAGTATGCTCATAATAATATCATCTTAGCATTTCCACTTTTCCATTAGGTGTTAATTAATTTAGATTGTTACATTAGGAGTGTTATGTTTCTTAATGATTTTGTAATATCACGCTGTGTTTTCTACACAGGGTCTGGCTGTGATATTTTTTGGAAGATAAATGCAGATACTCAGATTTGTTACCAGATCAATCTTCTTTCTGTTCTCTCCTGGAATGAGGCACGTGTGGCATGTCAGGGACAAGGAGCAGATCTGCTAAGTATCACAGATATGAAGGAACAGGAGTATATTGGTGGTCTAATTGGTAAGTTTAAAAGTGATTATAAGTGAAATCTGGAATATAAGAACGTTCAAGGAAGCCCCAATTATTCTGATTCTTGTTTAGGAAATCTCATTGTCTGAGTTTATAAATAACAGTAAATTAGTGTTTGTCAACCTGTTATGACTCCAATCAACTTGGAAAATGGTTAGGGATTTAGAGATGCATCATCTCAAGAGAAATGATTGGCATCAGGCTGAAAGAAAACCAAAATTTAATACTACACGAATAAGCGACAGAGACTTTTAGATTTGCAAATTCTTTTTTCCTGCAATCTGTTGGTGTGGCTATGGGAATTTTGTGGTGGAAAGGAACACATGTATTTTTCTAGCTAGCTTCTGTAGTCCACTGGGGCAGCAGTCTTAATTGCTAGTTAATTCAAAAGGACATATTGCATTTTCTCAACTGATTTCCCATCCTTTTTCCATTTTCTTGACATTTTCCTCAATAGCAGCTTATTTGGAGCTGAAGACAGTAGATTTTTAATAGGAAGTTACCATTTCTCTTTACTTTGTTGCCTCTACTTTTTTTTGGCCTTCTATGATTTTTTATTCATGACACATGGATTATATTATGGGAACAATTTAGGTGTTTTTCATATTTAAGTACCTTAAGACAGTGTAGACTTTAATTCCCAGACTTCCCCAAATATCATGGTGTCTGGGGAATTCTGAGAACTGAATTGTGAAATTGTGTGGAACTGAAATCCACACATCTTACAGTAGCCAATTTTGAAAAACACTGATTTAGAAGAAAAGGTTGGGTACAGCTGTCTGGGATAGGTTAGTTGTGCATATTCAGCTTATCCTTTTTGGCTGGAGCAGCACTGCTTAAATGATTGCTTGTTAGCTTTTGAAGTCCATGAAATAAACAACTCTTTTGAATTTATCTGAAGTTCCCTGCTTTGGTTAATTTCTATTTCCTTATTGCACAGTTGACATGATAAAGAGAGTTAAGAGAAAGGAAGAAGAAATCCAGATGTTTTCTGAAAACAATAATTACAGAATGCTGACTTCTACATCTGCTGCAGAAATCTCATTTGGCAAAGGAGAGCCATGCATTCTGTTGGTTTAAAAATTTGTGCCTTGCATCATTGAGAGTAAACTGATGGTATCTGAATGGCAACATGTTTATGAGTGTTTAATATATTTTACAGAGCAACTGAACACAAAAGAAGCTATGATATGGACAGGCTTAAATCAACTAGATGAAACTGCTGGCTGGCAATGGTCAGATGGTGCACCTCTGGCTTTGGTGAACTGGCTAAAGGGTACCACTTGGATTTATTACAGTACTGTTATGCCTGCGTATTGCAACTAATATCAATAATCAGCTGACAATGTACTAGCAGAGAGGGATTAGGAAAACCATAAGCTCAGTCCTATAGATCAGCACCCTTAATCTTTAGCGCCAAGGACCAGTTCCGTGGAGAGCGGTTTTTCCATGGACTGGGGAGCATGTTTTACAAGTGCCTGGATTCTGTGCATGCACAGATGGGGCTTTGCTTGGTTGCGCTGCCCAGTTCCTGATGAGCCACGGACTGGTGCTAGTCTGTGGCCCAGGGTTGCAGACCCCTGTTATAGATTGAGTGAATCAACTAATTCTGTCTATTATAGGAGGAAATGGTTGCTTTTGAATAGAGGCATATTTCTCACAAATTCTATCTGACAGGTTGATACTGTTTAGTTTTTCTTTTTCTCTCTTTTAAAATATATATCTTAAAATATCTTATCATTTGCTTCCCTACCACATTTTTAGTACAAAGTGCCAATGAAAGGAATGCTGCTGATATGATTTAAGCAGTGCATAATCTTAAATATGAAAAATTCTTTCTTAGAACATGTGAAATAGCATGTTAGAATATTTGCATAACTTAACATGCTAAAGAGGGACTTTCTTGCTGTTCTTGAAGAATTAGATGTGCTATATGTGTTCAACAAAATGGTGTATTATGAATTATTCAGTATTATTGAATTAAGGCCACATACAGTCTTCGAATTACAGTTCACAAAATAAAAGAACTGTGGCAAGATGATAGGTTTTATGAAATTCATACTATGATTTCTAATTTGAAACTTTGTTATTTTCTCTCTCTGTATAGCAAACTTGTGAGATTATTTCTTGAATGTGATTTTAAAATGCATGCTAATATGCAAGAGAGAAGCAATTTGCTATAGGGGTTAAGGCATCAGGCTAGAAACCAGGAGCCTCAGTTCTAATCCCTTCTTAGACTCAAAACCAGCTGGGTAACTTTGGACCAGTCACTCTCTGTCAGCCCTAGGAAAGAGGCAATGGCAAACCAGTTCTGAAAAACAGAAATACAAAGACTAGTCCAGGCAGTCTCCAAGAATCAGACATGACTGAAGAAAAAAAAAATGCAGAAGCTGGATTCACAGATTTTCTAGACAAACATGCTCATACCATAAGCATTGTGCATTTAACCTTTAACCTTGGTTCTACAACAACTCGCCACAGCCAACTTGCTATAGCCAACTCGGCATGCCAACTCACCATAGGACCACTCGCCATTGCCAACTCACTCTGGGACAACTTGCCATAGGACAAGAGTTACACTTATATTGAAGAAATAGTGGAATAGAATCATTAAAGAAAGGATGCCAAAGGAGAGACAAAATTAAATGTGAATGACAAAACAATCTTTTTAATTACTTTAAATAATTAAATTGAATTGTTGAGTTGTCCCACAACCAGTTGGCTATGGCGAGTTGACCACCGCAAATTAGCTGTGGCAAGTTGACCATGGTGAGTTGGCCATGGCGAGTTGGCTGCAGCGAGTTGTCTCCTTCCTTTCAACATTCATAGAATAAGCTAAGAATTGACTACCTTAGTAGAAGCCAGTAATTCAATTTTGATATCAATCTATTATCAAGAGTTGAACCCATAATTGATTTGGAAGTTGACCCAGCTACTTCAGGCATACTTTTTTTTCTTATAGGCAACATGGTTTGCCAATGACTAGTAATGCCGGAACTCTTGAATCACCCTTCCATGTGTCATCACACAAGAAATCTGAGTGGTATATTGTAAGAACACCTGAGGGATGGGATAATGTTTGTGTGTTCTGTGCACAGAAAAAACATGTTATTGCTTGAGAGTCCCCTGTCAATGGGGGCTAAAAGTTACAGATGTTTTCCTGCCACTGGAGTATTTTCTCTGACTATTTTGCTTCTTTTTGCAAGGATATAAATTATTATAAATGTGTTCACAAATCCCATTGACGGTTCTCTAGGACCAGCTCATTGTAAAGCTTTTAATTTAAAAATACAGAATGATTGGCCAAGTTACTCATGTGAGTCTAGACTACCATATGTATGCAAAAAATACTTAAATGCTACTGACCATGAAGCAGTTGGTAAGTTATCACTATCAAAGTATTGTAATTTCACTCTCTAATTCTATTTGCAATAAAATGACATTTCTATTATACATTAGTGCATGGTTAGATTTAGACAGTTTGATATATGGTATTTATGCTTTGGATGCAAAGAAATAATAGAAGTACAGAGTATAGCCCCCTTATTTTTAAATTAATGAAATAAACATTGATGCTGGTGGAATATCTAAGAATTCTCTTGTGCCATTTTGGAGGCATAAAACATAATTTTTACAATCAAAAATCAATGTTGCCAAAAGATTTTCTTCCCATCTAGTCTGGTAGATTTCAGGAGTAAACAACCTATGTTTATATTACGTAAACTCCAGTGAAATATACTTGTGGATTCCACATAAAGGAAATATACCAGCAGTCTGAGCTTCTTAATGGAAATCCATAAAAAATAGTCAGCTCTGCTAAGCATTTTTGTATGTTTACTTATTCTGCATGCCAAGGGCTCAGAGTAAATGTTGCATTTAATTTATATGTATATATGTTGATATATCTAAGAAATGAAATAATATTCTTCAGTGGAAACATATTGACATTTCCAAGTAAATGAATGCCCTCATTTTTTTTTAAATCATGTGATTGTAATTTAGGTATTGACAATATTAGGTATAGCTCATGAAATAATAATCCATAATGTTGGGTTTGTCAATGTATTTTTTAAATGTTGGATACCAAGGCACAATTTCCTAAACTAGAAAGGAAAAAAAGCTGAAGATTTACAAGATCACCAGATTGTGATAAGAACTCATGTAAAACTGTCAAATCTTGTAAAGTTCAGTCTCAGCAATTTTATTATCTTATTTTGGGGTAACTAAATGATATTGCATCACCAAACAGCTGCAAAAATAATCACCAGTTAAATGTTATTGTTTTTGTTGTTGTTATTTACCGCTGTATTCTTGGGTCTATAGACCAGGGGTGTCAAACTCAATTTCATTGAGGGACGCATCAGCAGTGTGGTTGCCCTCAAGGGGGGTGAGTAGGTGTGGCCAGGGGGCATGCAGCTTATTGGGTAGGCATGGATGGAGTGGGTGTGGCCTACTGGGTGGGCATGGCCAGATCTACATCGTTCACGTCAAGGGTGTCTGTGGGGGCCTGGGCAGGAGTGGGACAGATCTGAGGGTCTCTGGCAGAAGGGGGTGGGACCAGGGCAAGTGCCAAGGCATGGTCCACTGGAGGAGCCTCACTGTTCCTCTCAGGCCATGTGGGGGGGCTGGATGGTGGTGTGGGCTGCCGGAGCCCTGGGCAGCAGAGGTCAAACACCCAGCCTGGCCCTCGAGCACCCGTGGCACCAAACCCAGCCCCACTTCCCCAAGGGGGCACCCAGCTGCACTTACCTCCTCCTCAAGGCTGCTACTGCTATGTTTGCTCTCCCTAGCCAGGTTGCTCATGATGGGTACAAGGGCAGAGTCAGAGGGAGGCCCATTCCCTCTCCAGGGGAGGAGACCCGGTTTTGTATCCAAAGCTTCCTTAGAAATAGGGTGGGAGACCCCCAGGATAGGCCAGGAGGAGGGAGTAAGGGGATGGTGAAAGGGCACCAGGGCAGGAAAAAGGTAGAACTTTCCTCAGACCCTCCCTTTCCTTCTTTCCTAAGTACAGAGTGGTGGGAAAATATTTGAGATGAAGGAGGGAGAAAAACAGGCAAGAAACGCAGCTGGGGAGCTGTCACCTCCCCAGCATGCACCCAGGGGGCAGGGCCGACACAGCAGGGGCTTGTTCCTTGCTGTTTCCAGACAGCCTTGTGGAGCTAAGACTGAATGCGTTTCAGTATAGATGGCCACCACAAAATTGTACATTGGCTCCCGGCCAGCCTGGGCCAGGGCCAGGCAACGGGGGCCATTCCCTTACTGTTTCTTTTCTCTTTTTTTTCTTTTTTTTTTTTGTAAAAAGTTTTTTATTTTCAATTTTACATTACATCATAAAAAATACTTCAGATAAAGAGTAAAATAAATTTATACACATAACTTTCGGTATTGCTCACCCATTTCCCCCCAAACCGCATCCACCCTCTAACCTCTTCTCTCACTTCCCTCTTTCCCTCTTCTTCTTCACTCTCCCCCTCTCCTCCTTCTCCTCAACCTTCCTACTTACTTCTCCCTTTCCTTCTATCTTCTCATTCCGGATGCAGTCCAGGAGAAATGCCCGAGCAATTCCTCTCTCCAAAATAAAACATAATATTATATACAATGAAACTATTTCTACTTATCTGAGCTATTTAACCTTCAACCCATCCCCCCCACCTCCCTCCCCCCACCCCCGTCTCCCCCCCACTTCCCAGAGCCAAGTACAGGGTTATACAAACATATTAAACATAATCTATTTAAGTTTACTAATTATACAATAATCAAAATCATACTAACCCTTAACTCTCTTCAAACTTTAACATCATAATTTTATAAACAAATCTATTACTCATAAAATAAATGAAACTTTGTAGTTCCATATTTCTTCTGAACATATTCTATCCATCTTCTCCATACAATAACATATCTCTCTTGTGAATGGTCCTTTAAATAAGCAGAAATTTTAGCCATTTCTGCTAAATTAGAAACCTTAAATACCCATTCTTCTAAAGAAGGCAGAGAGTCTTTCTTCCAATATTGACCCACCAATAATCTTGCTGCTGTTATTAAATTCAACATTAAAATAGTTTCTTTAGCATCAAAATCCACAAAAATACCCAAAAGAAATAATTGGGGAGTAAACTTAATCTTCCTTTTAAAAACCTTTTGAATGTTCCACCAAATCATAACCCAAAAGACTTTAATATTTTTACAAGTCCACCAAACATGAAAATAGGTTGCATCCAAGCAACCACATCTCCAAAATTTAGGTTGCAGGTTCAGGTACATACAAGACAACTTTTTAGGATCCAGATGCCATCTATAAAACATTTTATAAAAATTTTCCCTCAAATTTTGAGCCTGCGTAAATTTAACATTTCTAATCCAAAGTACCTCCTATAAATCCAATTAAATCGGTTCCTGAATATTCTGGGCCCATTTAATCACACAATCTTTTACTAACTCTGTTTCCGAATCCAATTTTATTAACTCATTATAAATTCTTTTAATATGAGCACATTTCTGATCTTTAATCTGAATTACCAAATTTTCATCTGCTGAAGTAATTCCCACTTTCTTATCTAAGGTCCACCTCTCCACTATTTGCAAATATTGAAACCATGATTGTAAAATATTTTCTTGCCTTAACACATCTGAAGACCTTAGTTGCCAATCAGTACCTGACCAAATAAGTAACTTTTATACGAAATATTATCAAAATTCACCCCCTTAGAAACCTCCTGAATTGCTTGTCCAGGAATCCCCCAAATAGGTATTTTATAATTTAACCTACAATACTTCTTCCAAACTCGAAGTAAAGCATTTCTTAAAATGTGTGACTTAAAAACCCAATCTACTTTCTTATCAAACATTAAATATGCATGCCAACCATATAATAAATCCCAACTTTCAAGAGCAAGAATATTTTTATTTGTTAAATTAAGCCAGTCGCTTACTAAAGTTAAAGTGGCCGCATCATAATATAATTTCAAATTAGGTGCTTTAAGTCCACCTCTTTCTCAAGCGTCTTGTAAAATCTTAAACTTTACCCTTGATTTCTTCCCACCCCAAATAAATTTATTGATACCCTTCTGCCACTCATCCAAATTAGCATCTGTTATGTCCCGAGCCTTGCAAACGGCTCGGGGCGTTTGCAGGCGGTCCCGGGCAGGTGCAAAGCTGCCCGGGACCAGACAGGCTGTCGCCAGCGCCGTGCGCATGCGCGGGTGCTGGCGCGGGAAAAGTATCGCATTGACCCGGGAAATGCCTATATAAGAAGCTGGGAGGTTTTGGGAGCTGCTGAAGCCATCTACTTGTGAGCTGAACACAGAATAAAGAAAACTGAGAACTACAACTGCTTCTCGTGTCTGCTTTCCGCGAGGGACTCAACACTGGCGACGAGGATGGGATGCCTTACATCACCTGGAAAGGAAGAAGTGTAAGCTTACCCAAGTGAGTCCTGAGCGGCGGAACGGCATTGACTCGGCAGCTACTCGCCAATCCAGTGCGCATTCGGGGGTAGGCTGGCTGATAGACCCGTCTCCTGAAGATGGCAAAGGTTGGAAGGCTTTCGGAGTTCGACGTCTCACATCCAGAGCGATGGGAGTCCTACGTAGCCAGGGTGGAGAACTACTTCAAGGCAAACCAAGTGAGGGAAGAGAGCTTGAAGGCTGCCACCCTGCTTTGTGTTTGCGGTCAAGACGCCTTCGAAATCGCAGAAAACCTTGCAGCACCTGTTCCAGTAGAGTCTGTTAGCTACGCAGATCTAAAGAAGCTACTGAAGGAGCACTTCCAGCCTAAGATGTCCGTCATCGCATGGCGCCACACCTTCAAGCAGAGGGATCAACGATCCGGTGAGTCGGCCAAAGAATACATCGCCGCATTAAGGAAGGCCGCCAAGCACTGCGAGTTCAAGGACCTCGAAGAACGACTGAGGGACCGATTCGTGTGCGGGTTAAGGCATCGAGATCTACAACAGAGACTTTTCGCTAAAGAAGAATTGTCCTTCCAAGATGCCTTAAGAGAAGTCACCGCAGAAGAAGCAGCAGGCGGCGCCATCAAGAATATGCGGCCGATCAGAAACAGTCCAGAGGTCGCATCCGTGCACCAGGAAGACGTCCAAGGAAACTCCGAGGAGGATCCGGATGAGGAAGTCGACCGTCTCCACCCCACGAAGGAAGGAAATCAGAAGGGAAGCTCTTCAGCTCCACTCAAGTGCATCGGCTGTGGAGGTCGCCACAGGAGAACCGACTGCAAGTTCCGCTCCACTACCTGCCGGGCATGCGGCAAACAAGGACACATTGCAGCTGTGTGTCTGGGCCGACGAAAGGTACAACCTCAGGAAGAACTGCGTCTGAAAGGTACCAGGGTTCCCAGCCAGAATAGGGTAGGGTTTTGCGCTTC